GAACCACACCATATATATATATATATATATATATATATATATACTCCCCTTGTGTTTAATTAATGATTTTCTCTTATTATGCAAATTAAATTGATACTTTGTTTAAAGTTTAGAAATACTACTTATATAAATTGGTTTGTCATTGATATATCTCCTTTCTTATTTCTTATCTGTCTAATTGTTTATGTACTCGTAAAATTTGTATATTGAATATTTTTAATAGTTGCTTAAAATACTTGCTTAAAATAGCTGCTCAAATTAGGTCCTGGTTGTCTTGGTATCAGAGCCATATAGATTTTACAGTGGTGAACTGTAGTTGAAAATACTGTTCTAAAGGCTAAAAGCTTAACAAAATTTATCATTCAAGATAAGTCTAAGAATTGAAACTAAAAGTCGTCGTGACCCGTACTGCCGAAAAAAGGCCAGGAAGAGCCGCTGAAAAGGCATAGGGACTGTTTCCGATTGACTCAAGTATTCAACCGTTATCTTGAAATGGCAAATTTTATTAAAACTCTATCCAATAGAACAACATCTTCATCAAACAGTACATTACGAGTAAAAAATAAGGAAGAAATAATTATAGATAATATTAAAAAACAGATACAAAATTGGAATATACCAAAAGTTCCTATAACTGATATTTATAAGAAAGGTACATTTGAATTTAAGTCTAGTTATGCTATTAAAACTATAGAGCAAAATATATCTATTACAAACGAACAAGAAAGTTTCCAACTTCTATCTGAAAGAATGATTCATAATCATAAATCCAAAGAATATAAATATTTACATATAGGACTCATACAGATAGCAATAAAACCATTAACCCGACTAGGTTTAAACAATTCTGTTTTGTTATGTTTGAGAGATAGTCGCCATAACAAATTCTCAGATTCTCTATTAGGAATAATCGAATCTAGCCTTTGTAATGGACCCATATACTTTAACTGTTTCCCAAATTTCTCTGTTTCTTTAACAGACCCTAATCTTTTAAAGGTTCTTACCTTAAATATAAAAACCCAAGGGTTTGATATGAACCCTGGTTCACAAAATAGCATTAGTATATAGAATATGTTATAAAATTATGAATACCTTATGTCCTAATGCCCTTCAGATGGATACAAAAGGACAGACAATATTTTTCCAGACCAATATGGAAAAATCTAATACAGTTATACCTAAATCCATAAGTTGGTCTCAAATAATTCTTCCTGAAAATTGGTCTCTACATAGTGAAAATCAACAATCTAGAACTCCAATCAATAGAGAACCATATCAGATCATAGAATATCCTGATAGAGACATAGAAATACAGTTTAACTCCAATAGGCGAACCAGAATAAATCTGATAGAAGGCTCTATACGAACCCCATCTAGGATCACTATACCTTCTAGACATTCTACATCGTCTATATCTCAACGACCCATATTAGAAGGATTAACAAGAACAAACAGCAATATCCATAAACCAGTTTATAAAATGTATGAACCAAGTTCATCTGATAATGAACCAACACCTTCAGATTTGGATTTTAATATTCTTACCCTTCAGAAAGAAGAAAAATTTAAAATAGATATAGAAGCTCTTAAGAATAACTATCTTTCTGAGGAAATCAGAGAAATTCGTGACTGGTATCTAGCTGAATTCCTGCAAGAATTATTAAATGCTCTTCATAAAAGATATAATAAGTTTGTAAAGAAAAATAAACAAAATATAGGGTTTTTCGATTGGCTTAGGCCTACATTAAGAGAGAAGGATATTCCAATCCCAGACTTGGGCCTTAATGCCATAGAAAATCAATATCAAACCTTTCATACTACTGAAGGAGAAGAAATATATAGTATCTACCCTCCTGAGAAAAGTCTGCAGTTGAAAGGGGCATTAAAAGAAAAACCTGAAACCAAAGCCTCTCTGTATAAAATAATCCCAAAGGAAAATGATCATCATACTCATAAAATAGATGCTATACTCTCTTTATACACTAGGAGAATTGTCTGCGGAAATATGCGCAGAAGGTTTAGCTCTGTGTACAGATCTATAATTAAAGAGAATTAGATAAGCAGAGAATGACAGGCAAGAAGGAATTGTGGCAAGGTAGGGCATTACAAAAATAAAAGCCTAATAAAAAAAAAAATCAATGCCTTACAAATAGAAGAAAATATCGGAGATCAGCTATATCAAATATTACAAATAGAAGAAGAATCTGATGATAGATCAATAAGTTCCAATACAGAACCTCTTGCTGGTGAAATAGAAGATAAAAATCTAATA